GATCCATGTTTTGGAGTTTGTAGCCACAGCTCCATATAGGAGAGATAATATTCATTTTACACTTTGTGAATTAAGTGTTTGCATCTTCCGTTGTCTGTGCACATTAGTGCTGCCTATTGTTCCCATGAGAGGTCGAAGCCAGGCAGTCTGGGAGTGGGGTCTCTACCGATCGGGTAAGAGGCACTGATGGGAAAAGAGTTGCTGGGAAAGTTAGCGCACAAAGTGTTGTGGGTGGTGCTGCACGGTTGTTTGTTGTATACTTGCTTAGTGTGGCGATCAATACCAAATGGGAATAGTTCCTAGAGGATCATTGTAATCTGTTAGGGTTAGCTTTGTGACAGGATGTAGTTATTGGGCATGCGGCGATTAAGGATTGTATAGCGTGTGGGATGTGTTACATATTATTTGTTAATGCTGGTGATAACCAAACTAAAACAAGGAGCCATTTCATTAGGCAGGCCTAACAGGACAACACGAGTGGTGAAAAACAACATAACAGGATAACGGGGCAGGCAGGGGCTGTATGTATGCATGTACGTTGCACTTTTTCCACACGGTACGTAGCCAACCGTGCTTTTTATTGGGCTCCGGATCATGCATGTCCCACACTGCGGCACTGGGGGGGAGGGGGGTGCTGGCGGGCATAGCGCAGAACTGCGGGTCCGGAATGATGGCTTTGTCTCTGGATTTATTGTTTGACCCGAGTCGCCATAGAGCCAACAATGCATTTGCATCAAGTGTGGCAGAGCCAGCAGCACTGCGTTTGGCAGGATGTTGCATTGCAGTGCTTTTTAATATTTATTGCTTAGTCAGGTGACATCCCGTTGACTTCATTGTCTTATCGGCAAAAGAGGCTGAATATATGTAAAGTATATAATAAGTTATTGTATTGTGTATTTTTTCTCTCAATTTCATTAATGCATACATTTGTAAGTTTGCTATTTGCAGGTTTGGTAATTGTATTTAGTGGTCTTCCTTGAGACTGCTGATGTTACATGGTCTTTAACGTCTGCTTTATTCAGACAGATGGTCTGTTTTGGCAATTTCCATCAGTCTAAAGACCTCAATTTTGTGCAATAAAATTACTTGACACCATGCGTGAATCACTGGGTCGGGTATCATGGTTAGAGCACTTAACTTGCAATGAGAAGGTTCCAAGTTCAAATCCTGGTTGGGGGCTGACGCAGCCCTCAATTGCTCCACAGGCAATAAAATTTAGTGCAGTTTCAGGGAAGTCAATAGTGGCCATCTCATGGATTGACTTTCCTCCACCATCGTAATGTGGAATTTCTGCCACTGGTTCAGGGCTGTAGACAAGAGATGAGCACCACTGCATGCTCGTTTGGCCACTTGAACTTTATGACGAAAGCTACCTCGCCAGGTATACAGGAGGTTGTGGGTTCGATGGCGACCCTGACACCTGTTGTATAATTCGAGTTTGCATGTTCTCCCCATGGTCGAGTGGATTTTTATCAGGGTCCTCCGGTTTTTCCCTCCACATTTAGAACCGTGCGTTTAGAGTATTTGGCTGCTATCAATTTCAAATTATAAGCAACTTCATTGAACTTTAATTTGTTGCGAGGTCGCTTCTGAAAAATAGCTATATAGCTCAGTTGGCCTTACCTGGTAAACTAAGAATAGTTTATAGTTTAGTTTTAAACATGAAGATAAATCTTGCAGCTTTCCTCGAAATAACTTTGTTGCTGTCTTTGAATGTTACGCAACATCCTACGTGAAGCAACACAAATGTATTATTCGGCTGCACTTTACCGAGTCGTTGGAGTCTGTTACCGTTCGTGTCTAATTATTAATATATCATAGGCTGGTAGGCCTGAGGCTTGTGGCTCCGTTGGTCTACCCTCTTGCCCTGCCTGGATGGTTCTTGTGGAGATCAGATTGAGAAAATGTGCCTGTTTTTGTTAAAACAAGAACAAAAAATGACAATGCATTTTCGGGAAACTAAAGTGTAAATCAGAAGATACATGTGATATAACAAAGGTGACATTCACACGCAGAAATCTGTTGCGTTGAATATTCAGCGTCAGGTTGTTTTATGACGGCTATGAATAAATCGGCTGGAATGTTGCAGCCCATAATAAGCTAAAAAAACGGACAATTGTTGTTTTAGGTGGTCAAAGCATAACAGGAAGTCCCAGAATGCTGTGCATGTCAAGGTGACAACATATTCCTGTATATGTTCTGCACACAGCATATGATATCCACCATTGCAAGAGGAGAAGTGATAGCTGTTCTCTAACGATGAGTTCTAAACACGTTCCTTCGGAGTGGGCAGGTAGGAACAGCGCATTCGTGCGATCCGTGTCACGCGGCGCAAGCTGCGTGGGGCGGCGGGTCACGTGGTGCTGAGCCCGCCCGAAGCGCTCTATGAAATACAAATCGAGGGCGTGGCTATGCACGACAGACAGACAAATAATCCCTGGTGGGCAGTCAGTGTGGAACTGTTGTGCCTACCTGTATAAGAGTTAAATCAGTCCATAGGTGGCTTTCTTATCCTATTGTTGCCTAAAATAAAAGCGCCGCACGTTTAGCTCTTGTGCTCGTAGCCATCACAATCTATGCTGTGCAGGATATGATGCTGTCATCTTGACTTGAAAAGCATGCTGGGGCTTCCCATTCGGCTTTTGCCATCTAAAATTTATTTTTGTCATGTACAGTCATTCCCCGATTTACGTCTCCCCCTTCTATGTCGTCACTTTTATTATTAATACCGCTACCTGTTTAGCGTCGCCTCAACCCCATATTTATGTCCTGGGCACGTCTCTTCACCAATCATAAACTGCCCAGTGTGGTGACGTGATCAAGCAACCCCCCCCCCCCCAATCCATGACTGAAACGGCGTGGGGAGGCCTTCAGCCAACAGTGGATTAACAAAGGGCTAGGAAAATATATGTTATGTGTAATGAATTCATTGTGACCTTTGCCCACCACTAATATCCACGTTCAACAAACATCGATTCTTTAATCAAAATTACAACAACAGCATTTCGTCAAATCGCCAGCTAGTGAATAATTACGTGTCTGATACAAAGGGGCACGTTTGTGCCTTTAGAAAGTTGTGCCTGCTTGGGCATTTTTTTGGGGGTGGTTGGTTGCACCTTCCTGTAAGCGCCGATGTGCACAAGCGCTGCTGGCGTGAGACTCGTCGCACTCTTTGTTGTGTACAAAGTGGGTGCAGGTCACTGCCGGGACAGGTCATTTCAAACATTGCATCACTGGCACCACTGTTCATCGTGTCACGGTGACCGTTATTGTTGGTGTTCCTTGTTAAGATTTCTTCCTTGTGGGTCATTGTATTTATGAAAGATATCATCCTATATTAGAAAAAACAAGTTTTGCCGGCTGGCTGACCTTCCCTGGCTGGCCTGGATGGCTGGCGTGTGGGCAAGTGCGAGTTTGGCGGTGGTGATGTTACCGCGCCTACATCTCAGAGCATTGAGCCGGGTTCGTGCGTCGTGCCGACGTCACGCCTCCCTCTACTCACCCTCCAATCCCAGCTGTGGATCCCGTGCAAATGTACCGGATAAGCTATCGTACGATCATCCTATATCAGAAAAAAGTTTTGTTAGCTGGATGTAGGGAGGGACAGACGGACAGACGGTCACGTGCGGGCTGCTAGTTCTAGTAATTATAATGGCCCTTTGTTGATTAAAATTCATTGATTAAAATAAAATCTTGGCCCACGATATATGCTTCAAATCGTGCATTTAAAAAAGCATTAACGATTTGTGCAAATTATTTGTATAAGCTACCTTCAGGCTCATGGGCCAAATGAGATGGCACTTGTAAGGCAGACAATACAAATGAACAGTACAAACATAATGTAGAAGAACCAACTGTTGGCTTGCATCTTGACCCGCATTGCACCAGTTGGCCATTTATGTTTTGTGTGATGTACTGACAAGCAATGGAAAGCATTCTCAATGAGTATTTGGCCATCCTAGCGAGAGTCAACTTACCCAACCATTGTGATCTTCACTCCTTCAAAGTCTGTGAAAGGAACCGCCACAACTACTGTGGCTGCACCACTTGGTGTGACATAAATATTGATTGGACCGGTCTCTGCCATAGAAATGTGGAGTTTCCACCAGTGTATTTAGCCTCGTAACTGTAGTTGCCACTGCCGAATACTCGTTCAAGCATTAGTGCACTTTGAGATTTGAATTTTATAGATCACTGTAGATCTCTGAAAACATCACAGGAATGCCATCTGTTGTTATAAAGCCACGTTCATCACGGTCGTTTTTTGCAGTGCGATAAAAAAGTCCCTGGCCTTCCAAAGCAGTGGTGCTAGAACAGAGGGAAAGTGAATTTTTGGAACGATGTTATTTTTAAACATGACCCAATATCATATTTGTACATTTACACGTGTTGTAAATAATTGTTAACTGAAAAAAATGTATGTCTGAAAACCCTAAGAAATCTAGAGAACAAAAATATGATAACATTCAGAGAAATGTGGATAAAACCCATACTAACCAGGTCTGCCTGCCACTGACTTATGTATTCAGATGCATTGCAATGTATATCCTCTTGGGTTATTTCGGTAAAGTCACGAAGAAAAAAATTAAATTTAATAATAATAATAAAATACAATTTAATTTATTTCTACGTGACTTTACCGAAAGAACCAAAGAGTAATTCCTACAGTCACGAAAGCTTCGAATCTAGTTTTAATGTATATCCTTCCAACAAACCTAACCATGGTAAAACTGTTCACATTCTTTATGTTTTAGATTGAATGCGGTTGTGACACAGTGAATGGGAAAGGAGGAAAATATTATTGCACGTGAATATTTCGTCCTATCGGCAGCGCACCCGCTCTAATCAAGATGCCGCCTGCAAATACAATGCTTTATTCAACACATTAAACCCCTGCGAGCTGCCATACAAATAAACAGAAACGTGAGCATTTCGATTCAGCGCGGTGGTGATGGCTGTAGTTGAACGCCCTTCGTGTCTCCCCCCCCCCGCGCACGCAGTCCTGCTGCTGGAGCGCATCGAGAACGACGACATCAGCAAGAAGACGCTGAAGATCACAGACTTTGGGCTGGCGCGAGAGTGGCACCGCACCACCAAGATGAGCCAGGCCGGCACGTACGCGTGGATGGCGCCCGAGGTCATAAAGTTTTCAATGTTCTCCAAGGGCAGCGACATTTGGAGGTGAGCACGTGCACTACTGCTCGCTGAGAATGGCAAGCTTAATTTTTTTATATTTTACCAGGTAAGGCACACTGAGCTATATAGCTTTTTTCAGAAGCGACTTGGCCCCAGACGATAGCTCAACGAAGTGGCTTATCCCATGGAAATGTATAGCAGTCAAATACTCTTAAACGTATGTTTGTAAATGTGTGGAGGGAGAAACCGGAGGACCCGGAGAAAATTTCACACGACCACTGGGAGAATATGCAAACTCCAAATGTCGAGGCATCAGGGTTGGGATTGAACCCATGACCTCCGGTTTTGCCAGGCGAGGTAGTTAACATCTCACTACTACTGGGTCTCACTGATGTTCAAGACTATTTTTGAGGCGGGTGCTGTATTGACATGTTGAGTGAATCCCAATAACGAGGGTTTTGCTTGTGGGATACAGAGAGAGTACCTGGTGAATTTCCGTGCGTACAAGAGGATAGCACTCAAAACCCCATATAGACGGATTAATAATTAATTGGTTTACTGTCCTTTCACCACCCTGATGCAGTGTGTACATTATGTACGGTGAGTGCTGTTTTCAAGATTGAATGTGAGTTGAAGAATGAGCAAGGATGAATGAGTGCGAATGAGTGTTAACTTGTGAGTAAAAAAGTGTGTACAAGTTGGCACGTGACTGAATGAGAGTCATCTTGTGAGTCAGTTTATGAGTCAGACTTCTTATCGAGTCAATAATTGACTGAACGTGTGAGTGTTCAAGTTTGTTCAAGGAATGTGCGAGTGCAGGGAGCGGTTGTGATAATGGTTAGCGCATTGCGCCAGTGTCTGATTATCCTAGTAGCAAAAGTAGCATATGCTACGGGCCCTGCACTTTCAAGGGCCCCGCGCTAAATGCTTTCGAGCTATCAAATCCGGTTCAGTGATTCTGCACTTGCTCTATTAGCGATTTGTCGTATTATCCGGTTGTATAGCAAATGAAAACATACAATTGCTTTACGATGCGTTTTATTCTTTTTAATATTTGTGTTTTATTTCTTTATTTAGGGCCCCTTTATAACATATGCTACAGGCCCTGCACTAGCTTAATCCGGCACTGCGTTAAGCTACGAATCAGGTGACCCAAGTTTGATTCACACCCATGGTCAACACCAGTGACGAATATTTGAACCGGTCCTGGCCCTCCCTTTGGTCGACTCGGCCTCAAATGAGTACCTGGTGCAGTGTGTAAACATTGCCACCGGGAACACAAAGGCGGCTGGGTGTGGTGCTGACCACACACCCCCTCTTGTGCCCTACTGGCCTTTATAGGTGCTCGCGAATAGCGCTCGCCCCAAAAAGTCTCTAAAGACTCTACGGGGGGATCATTGTCTTGTCAAGGAATGTGTGTGAGTGCGAAAGCAAGCAAGCAAGTTGGTGAGCATGCGTATGAGTAAGCGAGGCGATTGTATGTATGGGCGAATGAGCAGCTCCTAACGCATGCCCGACTGCCCCACCTACCCTTCGTCTGCCCGCCTACTCGCGTCACTCCCCCAAGCTACGGTGTGCTGCTGTGGGAGCTGCTGACCGGCGAGGTGCCGTACCGCGGCATCGACGGCCTCACCGTGGCTTACGGCGTCGCCGTGAACAAGCTCACCCTGCCCATCCCCTCCACCTGCCCAGAGCCATTTGCCAAGCTCATGGCCGGTAAAGATGGCATTGCAACACAGTACAACACGGCACGTCACTTGGTCACAATACAGATTTTTTTCTGTCCGTATCAGCTCCCGCACAACTTTTTTATCCGGTCATTGGATCGGATGCTTTCAGATGCACTCCTGCTGCCGTCTTGAATGGTGTTTCTTTCAGTATTAGGAAGCCACTGGAGCTGTATGCACTTTAAAATAATCTAGATTTAAAATGTATTTCTTTAGAACTGCGTTTTCTTTTTAGTTTGTTGTATTTCCCCCGCACCTCCGATTAACACGGTTGGCTACGTACGGTGCGAAAAAAGTTTATACGTACATACATACATTTTAAATTCCTTGCAAGCATGGGCACTGAGTGAAGAGAAGAGTTTATTTTGAAATACCTACTCTGCCCACCAGCTATCTCCGCTGTAACCCTCGATTGATTATTCACTTCTCTTCACCTGGACTGCAGTGCAGGGCAGCCTTAGCCACCTAAGAATAATTATAAAGATTATAAATTTCACTCTCAAAGCGCTGAACATATCCAAGTGCACATGCGTATGTCGGGAAACAAAGGAGGTGGCTTTGAGTTGGAAATGTAGCTTCGAAGTAGGAGGACCTAAGGCAGTATGGGTGACAAACAAAGATCCCCCTAAACAGACTTTTGAAGCAAGTGCTGTTAGCGATCACCTATGAAGGCTGGCACGGCACACGAGCAGATGGGTGGCCAACACCACGCCCGGCCACCTGTGTCTCCCAAGTGGCGATGTTAACGCACTGCACCAGGTACTCATTTGAGGTCGAGTCCTATACACGTACGTACATAGACACACACACTGAATCCAGAGGCTATAGGCACATTTAAAGCCACTCATGCATATAACCCTTTCACCCACATTTCTTACCACATTTCATATCTTCCATTTAATACCTTTAATTGCATTAACTTATTGTGTCATAAATTCCCTTGTTCCTTCTGTGTAATGAGGTAGTTCATTGAGTTGACGATGGCCTGGGCTGCACAGTCTGTCCCATAGGTTATGATGGAGCTTGGCAATAGTTCACATTTTGTACATTACTGTTTTAAGTTGTGCAATGTGTGTACGTGCATTAAGCCAGAAAAACACTCAGAATTCAATGGAAACACGATTGTCTGTCAGCCCTCAATGTTCACCATCAGAGCCATGCCATTAAAATGAGTAACCTTCTAATTTGGCAAAGACCACCAATAACTGCGCAAAAGACTACACAATAAAAAAAAAATTCTATAATTCGTCATATTACAGGTTCTGAATATGGTCAAACATTTGTTTAAAAAAAAAGATTTTCAGAGCTGAAACCTAGCCGAATGGAGTGCAGAACCAAATTTAAAGTGTGTTTTTTTTGTGCGCTGGTTGATTCCGTCTAAAATCACTCGACTTGAGCACCCAGTTTAATTGCAGGTGGCTGCCTGCATTGTTGTGCCCGTCGCTCTCATCTCTGAGCCAAACAGGTGGGCACCCAGTTGGAGGACATCTCAAAGTAAAAGACAAACGAGGACATTGACGCATCCGATACAAATGATGGCCATTTATTTGTAACACACCCACGGCAGACTGCTGGAAGGCGGACCCACACGCACGGCCCTCCTTCGCCTCCATCCTGGAGCAGCTCACAGCCATCGAGGAGTCCATTCTGCTCGAGATGCCCCCGGAGTCGTTCCACTCCATGCAGGAGGACTGGAAGGTGGAGATCCAGCACATGTTCGACGACCTCCGAGCCAAAGAGAAGGTGGCTTCCCTGTTCCATTTAATCCCATCGCTTAACTTGTCTGCATGCCTGCCTTCCTCGTGTGGTAACCGAATTTACCCATTTGGTTATTTTGACTGAAAGCTATTCATTTTTCCTGATGGGCCGAGGACAAAAAAAAAAAATTCTTCAATATATATTTTCCACTGGCATCGAGTCAAACTCAATAGGTCCTCACGGCCAGTTCTGCGTCTGCCATCCCACTTCACTTTGTCATCGCTTTTTGCCAGACAACTGATTTTCTGAGCCAATATCCAAGTTTGAAGGTCGACTTTTATCATGTACCGCACGTACTGGCGAAGCTGTACTGCCATCTCCCGCCAGGCGTCCACGTATCATAACGTAGCCGTATTTTTCACTCCCGCTGTACACTATGCATTGTGACATAGTTGTAGCGCTGACTTACACCTTGTCATGACATGGGACATGGCTGTAGTGCGACTCGCAGCATGTGCTGCAGTTCGTGATGTTGCTGTGATGCCAGTTCTTGTCGTGCCCTGCGTGTCACAAAAATAAGCATCGTGCCAGCTCCGTGACATGGCTGTGTTTCCAGCTCCCGGCAGTCATGGCAATAGTGTTAACAATAAAGCTGAGATGTCTGGCAAAATCGATGACAAAGCGAGGTAGGATGGCATAAATAGAACTGGCCATTCTCTTTGGTTCTTTCGGTAAAGTCACGTAGGTATAAAATAAAATAAATCACGACGTTTGGGACGCAACACAAGCGCATGTCTTCAGGTGAAAATCGCGATAGCCGCGATGTCTGCTGCGAGCAGCACGATGTCTGCGGCAGACATTGTTTCGGGCGCTTGTGTTGCGTCCGAAACGTCGTGATCCACCTTGTTCCACTTCTACCTACGTGACTTTACCGAAAACCGAAGAGTATAGATATTCTAATACTGTCCCTCCGTTTATGGTGTGGCCATTGTAACCTCTTGAGTTTGACCTCTTGAGTTTTGACCCGTACAGTGTTCGCTCAGTATTCGCTCACTGCCGTAAGGAGGAACTACAGCAGCGACGTGGCGAGGCAGCGCCAACAATTGGCCAATTTCTGCGGTTCTCTATATAGGAAGGAGTTGTCGGACGATTAATGAGTGTTCATACTTGTGGGAGGTAACAGGAGCGCCCTGAAAAAAACCCACACATGCGAGGGGGCAACATACAGATGGAATAGGTGAAGTCCACATGTTTCTGTCCTGCCTTCTGGCAAGCCGTAGGGTATGGCACCTCGTCGACGCCCACAGGATGGGAGTTTCACAACATTCGTGCGATCCACTGACCCTCGCTGCCTCCGCGGTGGATTACAGGATCTTTATTTTTACTGGAAGAATCTGATGAGCAATAAAGCTCTTTCACAGATGTCCAGTAAATGGAGGAACGGGAGCAGGGCAGGGCACAACTGGCCACCGCCTGCTGCCGCCGTGCACCACGTGAACGTAGTCGCGACGCCGGATCCCACCATTCACAGCCGCTTGCTCGCGCGCCCTCAGGAGCTTCGCAGCTGGGAGGAGGAGCTGACGCGCGCGGCCGTGCAGCAAAAGACGCAGGAGGAGTGCCTGCGTCGGCGCGAGCAGGAGCTGGCGGAGCGCGAGATCGACGTGCTGGAGCGCGAGCTCAACATCCTCATCCACCAGCTTAACCAGGAGAAGCCGCGTGTCAAGAAGCGCAAGGGCAAGTTCAAGCGCAGTCGCCTCAAGCTCAAGGACTGCAACCGCATCAGCCTGCCGTCCGACTTCCAGCACAAGATCACGGTGCAGGCATCGCCCACCGTCGAGAAGCGCCGCAGCCTCATCAACAGCAGCTCGTCGAGCCCGCCAGCCAGCCCCACCATCAAGCCGCGGCTCAGGGCCATACAGCGTGAGTAGTACCCTTGCTTCCACGAACGCATTTTTGTCCTGTCGGGATTCGGTAAGATTCGTGAAGCACATTGTTTTCGTCTCTTACTCTGCGATGTAAGTCCCTTGTTTGCACGCCGGGCCTTGCATCCGGAAGCCGCCAGTTGGATTTGATCTGCCGGATTGTGATCGTTAAAAGGAGTGGGATGGCTTCTCTCCCAAAAACTGTTATCGCGGTGAAATCGATCGATAGGTCGTGAGTGGTGGGGTAAAGTGTGGGTACTCCTAAGTCTTCCAAGACGACTGGTCATTGTGGAAGGGTAGGCCCTTCCACCAGCAGTAATTTAAGGACTGCACCTTTACTTTTTCACTGTCTCTATTGTATTGTTTCATTATTTGCTCAGTCTCATTTTCACCTTGGTTCGCTCCATGAGCCTATGATCTGCGAAAATGTAAAAGCGGCGATTCTTTCATACGCGATTCGCTGCTTGTATCAATATGAATCGATGAACATCAGTACATCCATACATTTCAAGCATATGCATCAATTAACTTGCATTGCGTGTACTTTTTTTCTCTTCGTGTCTAATTCCGCACCATTCCCTTCTGCTTTCTCAAGTCACGGGATCCGAGGGGCAGTCAGGGTTCCCCAGCCCCCAGCGCAACAGCTACGTGTACCAGCAGGACGTTGACATCACCAGCGAGTGCGCTCTGTCTGATGGCGCTGCCAAAGGTGAGCTCCCCCGCACAGCCATTGGCATGCTGTCCATACCTTAACCTTTTACCGTTCCAAGATGTCTGCAAGTTGCAGGGTGGGTCCCTGAATCTCGGAACGCGCAAGCAGTTTGCTTCAATTTTTTTTGGAGAGGCGTAGCACTGCTGTTTTTAAAGACAGGATACTCTACTCACCGCAGAGAACTGTAGCGACATGATCACACTCGATGATAGCTGGCGCCAAGCTGTGCCACACACCCTCCCACATGACCTTTTACTTACGATTTTGTTCAGAATCGATTTGATTTCGTTCTGATGGCGTAAATGTTCGTAATCAGAACGGAATCGGAAGAAAAACTGATCGGAACGGGAAATGATTAATTATCGCCAGCTGCGGCATCTCAGGCATCGTGTCTCGCACCTCCTTAGTTGATCGTGCTCACCATGTGAATTCTGTGACGGTTGCATCTTCCCCCCCCCCCCCCCCCCCCGCTCTGGCCACTTCTGTGCAGGCATCTCATATTTGAGTCCTAACGACATCAAGTAGAGTCGGTGTGTAGGGCACGTCAGTTCATTAATGATTGGGCTATACAAAAACAAAACTCACTGCAAACAGGTAGGGAAAATGTATTTTTAGTCGAAGAAATAGTCACGAGTCTATCAATGAGCGAGTCTTCTGGACCAATGTGTTTTTTTTCCAGCAGCATTTGTTTAATAGAAGATGCAACACAAATAACAAACAGGACTTAGGTACCTTGGCTCTGCGTCTGGAGAAAATAGACTCCAGAGTTCAATTCAAGCATGTCAGTGGCACTAGTGACATAATTCTGATAGCTTTTATTTAAACTTAATTGCACTCGGGTCAAGAAGGAAACGTTGGATTGACTTTTATCCAGTAGTGAAATGACAAAAGTTCTGCATAGAATGAAACACTCCTTCCCCATGTAGTGATTGATATATTCCTTGATTACCCAACAATTCAATAAAATTGGACAATGACAGTTGTCAGTATATTTTTGGTCACGGAAAAAAATATACCAGCACCATTAAACCCGCACCCCCATCTGTGACATACAGCGATACACCACCTCCTAGTGTGTATGTGTGTGAGAGTGGTAGTGTAGCGGTTAACGCGCTGTGCTACGAACCTGGTGACCCGAGTTTGATTCCCGCTCACGGCCAACACCAGTGACGATTATCTGAACCGTTCCTGTGCTTCCCCTAGGTCAACTCAGTCTCAAATGAGTACCTGGTGTGGTGTGTAAAAATATCGCCACTGGGGGGAAAAAAGCGGTTGTGCGTGTCGCTGGCCACCCACCCCCTCGTGTACCGTGCCGTCCTTTATAGGTGCTGCTCGCTAACAGCACTTGCTCCAAACGTCTGTTAAGGCTACACGGGGGATCTCTGTCTGGATGTTAGTGGCCACGCACAGCAGAATCATAGGTGCCTAGCAGCTCAGGAGTGGGCCCCTGACTCATGTGAAAGAATGAGGCCGTATCAAATATCAGCTCGACTTGAAATTTCCATCAACATCACGTGATACGGAGGGGGATCTTTGTCTTTTTGCGTGCATGCGTACGGACGACACAGCCGCGGTGGAGAAGCGCGAGGGGACCAGGACGTGGGCGCGCGGGTCAGTGTGCTCGCGCCCTCGCTCGCAGCATGAGGAGGATGAGGCGGAGCGCAAGGGCCAGCGCAAGAAGGGTCGCACGTGGGGGCCCAGCACCATGCAGCAGCCACGCGAGAGGGGCTCCTGGGAGGACAGGTAAACTATTAAAAATAAACTTTTTTATTTTTATTTAACCAGGTTAAGGCCTCACTGAGCGAGGCAGCTCTTTTTCAGAAGCAACCTGGCTATCACAAATTATAGCTCACACGGAGTGGCTTATTGTCGTGTGGAAATTTTTAACGGCTAAACACTCTAAACGTGTGTTTTTATAAATGTGGAGGGGAAAACCCGGAGGACCCGGGGGAAAATTCACGCGACCACGGGGAGAGAACATGCAAACTTCAAATATACAGCAGGCGTTAGGGTTGGGATCCAACCCACGACCTCCTGCATACCAGGCGAGGTAGTTGACATCTCACCACCGTGGCACCCCAAACGGCGAGACAGGCATTAATCCAGCTTCGAGGTGTGCTGATTTACCCCCTCCACGATTCCATGATTTTTCGTGATTCGGGGTCATGACCTTGTTCACGAATCGATCGTTGTTTTTCTTTATATTTCCATGGCTTTCTGTGCTGGTGAATGTAGAATCGACAGTTGTAGCGTAAATCTCTTCTCCTGGTCCGAGCTCGCCCGGATTTTATCTCACAATGGTTTAACCCATCATGTGATTCCCTTGACCCGTCATGATTGTTTATAAAGCCGATAAATAGGGACCCTGTCTCAATCCCTGCGAAAGGTAGCAAGATGTTACAGGCCCCTGCCCAAACCAGTCTGAATTATTAGCAAGTCTGACGCTGGCATTGTGTGCTTCTGTAGTGCCAAGAAGCAGCATACTTTATCATGTTTATATGAACATATATACATTCATTGATTATCCATAACAGGTTTTTTTGGGTTAGATCGCATGAATATAAATGTCGTTAAACCCGCCACCACCTGTCAGCCAATTAGTAAGGTTTGTCAAAAAAACAAAACATGCCGATTAGTTACTAGTTCAGCACTCCGGTGTGTTGGAGAGTAAACCCATAACATTTACAATTCGAGTACGACATTTCGCTGGTAATTGCAACCAGCTTGATTAGGTGATAGCCAGAATTGTGAATAAGTTTTCCTCTTTTGGTCTTAAATAGAATAAAGACGATGTCATCACTGAACCTATCAGGTGCGAAGACCAAAGTGGGGTTAATGTAACCCAAAATACACCTTTATTATGGATAATATTGGTTACGAAAGCCTGACAATTTTGACAGTTTAAAGAATCATAAGGACGAGTGTAATGGCTTTGTGTGACCCCTGTAATAACTCAAGGTCACTATGTTACCACCAACAATAGAATAGATTTTTGCATTGCATCGTGACCCTGAATCAGGAAAGTAAGAATATATTTCAATCAGTGAACAGTTACATCCCTAGCTGGAACATATTTGGAGGTATTGATCTTGACGAAATTAAAGTACTATCGACAGGGGCATTCAGACTTATTTCAATGGGAAAAAAGTAGTTCGAGTCTCATCAGGCTTGCCCATTTTACTCACCCCTATGTGGTGATGAAGGGCAAGCTGGGATTTTAATTCCATGTACGACATTGAATTGGAAGCCCTGCTAAGCTATCAACTAACCTGCAGCATATCGTGCCCCATTTCATGTTTAGTTTCCTGTTATAATTTTATGATTTAATTGCAATAGAAGCAATAAATGGTTAACTTGTAGTGAAAGTACGATTAGTCGATAGACTGAAATTCCAAAGAATTCCTACACCATAATGATGCCATTATCAGTATTCATCTTCATTGACCGTATATATTTGGCTTTATTTTTTTCTTTTGCAGTCTTTATTGCATTGTCGTTTTGCGTGTGTGTTGTACTGTTGTACGGGTCGTGTGCGTCGGTGCCGGTCGCCATGTGTTTGTAATTCACGTTTGCTCTGCGTTGTCGTCGTGGTTGCTGCCTTGCCCCGGGCTCGCCCCACCATAGGTTTGTTCCGGCTGCCGAACCCCTCATGGTGTCGCCCGAGCCCCAACGCCTGAATGGCAGTGACGAAAGGTTGGCCCTGTTAATGTTTTTTTTTACAATTTTTTTTCCTCCTTTTCACCTTTATTCTTGCTTCTCTCTGCAGCGGGCGCTTTCCTTTCTGATGCTGCCGTGCTGAGTTGAACAGCTGGCGCGGCCTCCTCACCGAACTTGATTTTGTTGCTTTGTTCCTGCCTCTTATTTCCGGATGGTGTCTCATGTATGTCCTGGTATGTGTCTTTGTGTCTTTGTGACTTAGTGTGTTTGTGTTCGACTTGGCCTCAAATGAGTACCTGGTGTGCGGTGTGTAAACACTGAAGAGATAAAGGCGGCCGGGCATGGTAATGGCCACCCAACCCTGTCGTGTGTCGTGCAGGCATTCATAGGTGTTCACGAACGGTGCTTGCCCCAACAGTCTGTTAAGGTTATGTGGGGGTTTTTTGTCTTTTGTGTGTGCGGTTAATGTGGGGTGAGATGGCGCATTGGTTATCGATTGCGTTTAGGAGCTCAACAATCTGGGTTCAGTTTCCACCCGTAGACTACATCCATGGCACATGGTATCCAAATCTGACTTGGGTCCCGTTTTGGTGAATTTAGCTTTAAATTAGCACCTTTTACAATGTATGAACGTTATCGCAGGGATATCTGTCTTGGTGCACGCCGCACCACTCACTCTTTTGTGTCTTGTTCGCCTTACAAGATGCTCCATCGCAGACCTTCCCCCAATAGTCTTGTTTAGCTTAAATAAGAATAATTTGTCTGCTTCTGCATTCTTGTGTATTTTCCTAAGTCTGACAAGCACAGATGGGAAACACCTCGACACCACGTTGTGCATTCTGGGTGGAAACTGGTGTATGCCTGAATGATATATTTTATGTACTTAGAGTCTGCAGATAAGCAACAAACTGAATGCAAAGTATTTTTCTTGCTGCTTCTTCACTCGCTAATATTATATTGGGCGGCAGCGTGGCCTTTCATCTTGAGTTTGTAAGTTCTCCCTCTTTTCTGCATGGGTATGCTCCGAGCTCTTCGGTTTCCTCCTATAGCTTAAAAAACACACGCATGCACTACGCGACTGATATTAGGCAAACATCTTAATGCTGAAAAATGACCTGCAAATGACTCAATTAAGATCACACTTGGCAGGACCCTCCTACAAAAGATGCTTGAGACTGAATTTGAATGTGGACTTGGGCTATTGTTTTCAGGGACACCCCTCTACAGGACGTATGACTACCGGTGCTATCACCAGTCTGCTTTTACACATATTATATTTGGATTCCTTCAAAATGTATTAATTCGCAATTGTGTATTCTGCAAATGTATTAACCTATCCATGCGTGCCCCTTTGGCCCGTGACCATCTCCACTGTTTGTCCCGCACACCCCCCTCCGGTCGCCCCTCCATTGCCACCCACCCACAGGCTGACGCCGTTGTCGGATGAGAACAAGCAGTGGTCGTCGAGCACCCCCAACCTGGGAAAGACGCCGCAGCGAGCCGGTCTGCCCGCGGCTGTGGGCTTCTCCTGCCTGCACGAGACGGGTGCGTGCCTCCTCCCCCACCCCTCTCCCCCCCCCCCCCCCCCCCCCGTTCCAGGTGTGGAACTGGGCCTTGATTTCGCGTGGCTGAGTGGGACGCGGCTCCCCAATCTCTCCGCCTTCTGCAAATTAACACATCCAGATTTCGTGTAAAATTCTAGATGATTGTATATGCCAGGTGGCGCGGTGGTTGAGCGAGCAGCTTACAATAGGAAGGTTGCGAGTTCAAATTCTGGTCGGGGGGGTTGACTCAGCGAATCACTCCTCCTGGGCACATTGTTTGGCCCTGAAGATGGCCGTTGGCGTGGCTTGTGTTGTTGCTCTGGAGACCAGCAGATCGATGATCGGAAATTGTAGTTGTTGAAATTGTAGTTGTTGCCCTGCATCTACATTAGCCATACAAGAGAAGAAGACTTCTCCTGTGTTGATCAAATAAGTGTGACCTTGTGGGGTAGTCAACAGTTGTTGTCCTTTGCCTCGACCTATCCCCACCATAGAAATGTGGAATTTCCCCCACTGGCTCAGGTGTGTAAACTGGAGACAAGCACTGCCTTTGAATAAGAATATAGATCGGTTTTTGAGAGAGCATCACTGTGTCTGGATATATGTTTAAGAGGCTTGTGTGCCAAATTCTTGTTGATTTATTTTTTATTTTTGATAACACTGTAAGGTCCATACAGTAGGATCACACATTCACTTGCTTGTACTGCCATCTTCTGGCCATCTTTCAGGTCCAGTAGGTTTAGGTATGTCAAATCTACGTGGCTCAATCGAGGGTCCCAGAGGATCCATTCACTTACAAGTCCAGCGAATTCAGGGGATTGGATGTTTATCCGAATTCCAGTCGTAAGTGTTTTGCCTGCGACAGGAAACTGGAGTACCCAGAGAATACCTACTTATGTGAGTGGGTCGGACTCAAATCAATGCACAGATATATTCAAGAGTCCATTGCTGTTCTGCCATAGCCTGGTCATCTCACAGCTGGAGCCTACAAACTGTATTATTCCCACAGTTTTCTTCTTTCGTAGGTGGTCAAGCCAGATAACCATGTCAGGAGCAGTGGAGTGTATGGCTGTGATGTCTCCGTCGTAATTGTGTATCGGGCATTTCGTTGTTGTAAGTTGTACGGTCTGTTGTGGATGACCACAGTCGCACACAACTGGAGATTTGTTAATTTTCCATTTGTGCATCAGGTATCTGCATCTGTTGCCATGGTTTGTGAAGTGGATTCGATTTAGAGTTCGATCATGAGCTTCATGGAAGATCAAACCCAGGGAGACAGGTTTGATCTTCAAGAGTCCCGGTTACAAGTATTTACCACGCTCAACTCTGTTTAGCCTTTTGAGATCTGACAAACTCTGGCGCGCGCTGTGTGGGCGACGCGACGTGCTGGGACCACAGGCGAGAGTGGCGACGCCGGGCCCTCGCCCGAGCCCCAGGCCAGCTCGGACCCCACGCCTCAAGCGACGGGTGCACAGCTCGAGCTCCCGCTCACGGGCGCACGCAACTCGTGGCCTGGGAACGGCGCCATCGCAGCCGTCGCCGCCGCCGCTGTCACCACCGCCTCCCCCGCCATGGCGTGCGGACAAGGGAGCGACACCACCGAGGAGCCCACGCCCGTCAACTCGGCCTCCAGCACGCCGCAGGTTCCCGCTTGGCCTCTCGAAACAAACGTGGCGTGCAGAATTGTTGTGTCACGCATTCCGTCAAGCGTTTGTCTGCAAAAGTGTATTCAATCAGCGGGACGTAAGTCGATGGGAAGCTGTTGGCCAAAGGCATCTGCGTATTTGCAATTAGTTCCATCATGCTCTGGTTAGCGTCTCGTTTTGGGAAACCATTGGGTCGGGTTAGACAGTGTTCGATAGGGTAAGGCTCTAAACACCAAGACGTCGTCCTAAAGTACCGTTCCTCTTGGATTTTGATTTGTGGACAGAGTCGTGCATAAACGTTTACAACCTTAGTTGCCAGGGTGCGGCTGAAACAGCATACTAATTTTAAGTGGCATATTTATTAGTCTCAAATCGTAATAGCACGGCTGGGATATGGTTGTTTACTTAAAAATGCTAATTATAACCTCACCATCTCTCTCTACTGTAATGAATACTCAGTGTCCAAACGAAGCTTGGATCACACACCAAGTCTTTCATATTGTTCACCGACACTTTTCTTTGTGTCAATTCACAGGTGACCCCGACAAACAGCCTGAAGCGGCAGCCTACCCAGCGCAAGCGCTGCGAACTGGCGCTGCTGGACTGCACCGCCGTGCTGGCATCGGTGGTGCTGGGCGTGGACATACGTGACGTGTGGAAGCAGCAGGTGCTGGGCGGGCTTTCCGATGACCTTGAACCGGCGGAACGGGACCGCTCGGCGGACCGCGGCGTCGGGGTCGGTGTTGGGGTCGGCGTAGGCTCCACCAAAAAGAAGGAGGGCCTCTTCCAGCGCACGGGCCGCTTCCGCCGCAGCTCCAGCCCGCCGAGCCGCAAGCCCACCAAGAAGGAGGAGGCGGCGGCAGCGGCGCTGGCGGCGGCCGCGTTGGGGGCCGGCGGCGAGCCGCACGCGTCGGTCACGCTCGACTCGCTGTCGTCCATCTCCGAGTGCAACTCGACGCGCTCGCTGCTGCGCTCGGACAGCGACGAGATCGAGACTCCGCCGAGCGTCGACTCTCCGCCGACGCCGGGCGGCGGCGTGGTGCTGCGCGTGACGGCAGCGGTCCCCCACTCGCCGTCTTCCTCGTCGTCGTCGTACGAGGAAGCCGGGATGGCCGCGTCGGCGGTGTCGCGCACGCGTAATCCGCTCGTGGACTGCCGCGTGGAGAGCTTCAAGCGCCAGCCTGGCCAGTCGCTCACGCCCACGCATGTGCTGCTCCCCGTGGCGGCCGGCGCCGTGACCAGGAGGCACCGGAGGACTCCGTCGGACGGCGCGCTGCCGGGGCAGAACGGGCCGGCGCACCAGCGCACGCCATCGGACGGCAGCGATGGCGGTTTCCCTCCGACGAGTTAGTGTTGCCCCCTTCCTCCACTCCTTCATCCACAATTCCATTTCCTCTTGCCCACGATCATTTCCAACCTCCCACCAACCCACAATTTCTCTGTCCTGGTAACTTTTTATGCAGTTCCCTGAATATAAATAATTTATTGGCCACTGAAATCCCTCCCTCATCTTAGAATCCTCTCCCTCCTCTCTCACAAGGAGAGTGTGACCCACAATCCCACGCTCTTTGTAACTCTCAGATCCGTTCGTGCTCCGTTAAATGAGATGTGCGTATCTCTTGTCAGCAGGATGTCTCGAGTGAAGGAACAGAGATTTCTTTGTGATGTCAATTGTGCAAATTTGAAGAAAAACCTTGAAAGGACAATTACAGAATCACCCATGAGATGTGGAATTCCGTAGTATTGGTGCACAGCACAGTGACATAGCAAATGAAAGCAAATTTGCGCGAGTTTAATTGAAACCATTGCTGTGTAATTTCAGCAGTACAAAGCATTCAGCAAATTTTAACTGCTTAATTCAGGCAATAATTAATGTGATATTCTTTAGTCGTAATACTATTCTTGGTGTTGTTTTTAAATAAAGTTAAAAGTGACTCCCATAACGGTCACGCAATTTAGGTTCGGCTCGATGAGGCCCGTGCTGGAAATTCCACATTCCCATGGTTGAGCGCACTCTTTGTTCAAAACATTTATCCCCTCGCAGCAGAAATCCCCCTCCGGCGTCACCGGCACGGTAGCGATCCAGCTCTTTTCGCCGCCCCTTTCCCTGTAGCCAACGGCGTGGGTGAGGGCCCATGCCACGGCCTCCCGCGCCTGCCGGATCCACGGTCGCTGCTGGCGCTGACCCCGCGGCGCCCCCCATCAGACGACGCTTCTCACGACCCTGCGCTGGAGCGCCCCCGCACGCTCGAGTTCACACCGCGGCCCCGACCCTCGCCCGGCGGCGGCACCGGCGGCTCGGCATCGGGCGGCGCCGGCCCCGCGGCGGCGGGGACGGCGCGCAGCCGCATCGACCCCTGGCGCTTCATGTCTCCGGGTGGCCGCCACGACGGCGGCACCGACTCCCCGGCCAGCAACTCCGGGACGGCCACACCGACGGGCAGTGCCGGCGACTTCGGCGCGCCCGTTCACCTCCGCGCCAGCTACTCTTCGCCGGCACACCACGCGCTGCCGCCCACGTTTCGGCAGTCGAGCTTTGACGGCGACGCGCAGCACCACTGCCATCACCAGCAGCACCAGCCGCATTGGCAGTTGGGTGTCGTCGCCGGCAGTGATCACCACTTGGGCGTGGTGTTGCGCCAGCAGCATCATCGCGGGGTAGCGGGCGAAACGGAGGCAGAGGCGCACTCTCCATTCCGTGCGTTTGGCGCCGTGTCTCCGCAACACCTGCTGCTGGCGCGTCGCTCCACCGAGCCGGCGTTTAGTGGCGGCGGTCGTGGTGGCGCCTTATCGCCTGCCGCCGGAGACCCCTTCTGCACGTCGAGCAGCGTGGGCACCCTGCTCGACATGGACGTGGAAGGGCAGAGCCAGGACGGGACGGTGCCGCTGTGCGAGCCGAATTTGTGACTTTTCCCCGCCGGGTGGGGCGAAGCGGCGGGAGGAGGGGCCGTCGGGCAAGAACCGTTTGCGCGTGAGTTGCGGTCGCTGTGGGGTGAGGGCGAAGTGAGCGGTGAGGTTTTGCCGGCCATGGGGCCGCATCCTGCTAGCATCCCTTGGAAAACTGTGACAGGAACTAAAAACAAAACAAGCGACAAACTCCCCCTGCCGACCCACACGGAAATTACGGAATCGCTCAGTTGCCGCGTTGCCAATGACGCAAAAAATAAAATGATGATAAACCTGATAATACGTCAGTGATATTGATCGCAACTCCATGATAAGCAATGCGCGTGTTTAGTCAATTCTGCAAGAGTGGGTTACGTTATGGCCACAACGTTGGACTGCACTGCCATTCTTTTTGCCTTGAAAGTGCTGCTGCGGCGCCCGCGATCTTTCCGCCCGCGTGGAACGCGGCGAGCGGACCCCCCTCCCGCTTGTCTCGTGTGATGGCGCTTTCTCGCACGCTCACCCCGGGCTAGCTGGCGCAAGCTGCGCTCACAGGTAGCTTGATTTGCACTGCTGTTTTGGGTTTTATCCCCTTTTTATTTCTATAAACATAGGGGGAGCATTTTAGCCGTGGCCATTTTAGAGTTAGCTAAACGTTTTAAATTAAAGTTGCCGAGACCGCTTTCAATGGTAGCATTCCTTGACAGGTTGAGGGGGATAGTTTGCAATTTCTTTAAGCCCCATGAACCACTCGGGCAATTGCAGGGCGATCGTTGCCAGCAATCATCGCCGGCAATACATTAACCATGAGCGACGATGGAAACTTGGGTGGGCAATGGAATGGAGTGACAGAGTTTTCTCTAGCCAATCAAAACAAGCCTAGATAATAAGTGTGTACGCTGAACAATGATTGATCTGCTGACTGTAAATGAAATTGTTGATTGTGTATGGGGTAGGCCTAGTACTAGTCGCTAGTTATGTAAACTGGTTTTTCAGTAGTTTATGCAGTCCATTATTACTAGTCAGTCAGTCATTTCGTCAATACAATACAATGCATTACTTACCAGATCAAATCATTTGGTCAGAAAGCGTTCTCTTTCATCTGTCCAAGATCCCACTCATGCTGGGAATTGGAAGCCCCCACCATGTTTTGTCAGGCAAAGAAAGCACGACACTCTTCGGCAGTCACGTGTGCTCTCTCTCTGATCTGGATGGACATTGCCGCTGCGAAATGATTCGGCAACCAGTGCCGGTGGCGATTGCCGGCATCGATTGCCCGAGTGGATCACGGCCTTTAGGCTTTACACCAGACAAAAATCGGGCTATAAATGTTTTTGTTATTATCAATGGACCCATTGCTCAAAGATAAAGTGAAGGTTTCCTCCCATGCAAGGCACAAGGCTTTTCCCACGAATGCCAGAAAAGCCTTGCTTCCACACGTGCATTCACGGTGACACTGCTCACCCAGTCCCCCCAACTCATTCCAGCACAGCTCCCTTCTAAAGTCTTAAACTGCTCCCCTGGTCGATGCTGAAGGTTTTAAGTTCAAGTGTTAAGTGTTTGTTTTGGGTGGCTTCAGTTTGAATAATTGTCGCATATGTTCTCGGATCGTCCTTGTCCCCAACCGCTCCACCCTCCTGTTTTGGTCACGAACGTAGCAGCACCGTCGTTGGTGGGCCTACAAAACGTCACGTGTCTAACTTTGCACTTGACTGCAGCAGCGTGGACTGTGGATTTATATCTGCTGCCTCGAACCGGACTTGATTGAGCTGAATTATAACACACGCTCTCTCACCATTCAAAGAGGTCACTGTAGCAAAAAGATAGTGAATCTGAACGGGCCCATTTTCGTTGTTGAATGGAACTGTTTGAAATACTAACTTTCGCGATGGGTGATTTGCCTACAACTGTGAACTGTTCCTCTGTGCTTCCCAGATCCCATCAATAGAGTGGTCATTTACAAACTCATGTGTTGAAATGTCTGTTGAGGTAGTTTTCAGCGTTTTGTTATTGTCTTTTATCATTTAATCTGTCCGGCAGTGAGATGTAATGCATAGTCGTGTGGCATAGGACAGCGTGTTAAGAAATGGGGCAATGTTTGAACCAACATCGTCACCCATGCTACTCAAGAGTTCTTAAACTGGCCTGAGTCACATCTATGCACTTTGTAGCAGCTTGCGTTCAATTTAATTTAATTTTCTCCTGCTCAGATTTTAAACTACTGAAACACTAAATTATTCCTAAAAAGGAACCTGACTGGGTCTGTAGCCTGTGACAAAACGTGTTTGTGCGTAAGATCCTGTCGTAAAAGATAATGTTATTTATTTTTCGTTTTTATTTAATTCCCTTCCCCGCCCGCCTATTGGGCCCGTTCAATCCCCCAATGGGTAATGTTTTAACAAGTAAGCGATGGAGTACACCTTGCTGAGAATGCGGAAGAGAGTTTACACCTTCCCGTTAGGAATGCAGCCTCCCTCCCTCCTTCGCAATCCCCGCACTCCGTTGCTTCAGGTGTTGTTGTTCTGAAGGCAAATTTAAAATTGTCACTACTTGCTCGTTTTGCTTGCGTCAAAATTACATTTTCACGTCTTAATGGGTACGACATGAGTTAAAGTAAATATTATGATGCCCACTGATAATTAATAGCTTCACAAGTAGGTTAAGTTTTACGTATTTCTCTGATAGGCGATGATAATTTTACGAATAAGAGTTGAAGCATGCAAAGGCATTCGTTAAAGGAGACGATAGGCGACCCACGGGGAATGTGATGTAATACCTTTGTAAGAATGCCGGTTAATTCTGACAGTATCTTTCCTATCGTCGATGTGTTTTTCCGATGGCACTGACTGATGGCTTGATGAACGGGGGTTCTGAAAGACATGGAGCGTAGCACAACTCCGTGTGGTGCGTTTACAGCAGCTCTCTTGCACCCACATGTCTGTCCACGTGTTCCACTTTGACCGTCTGCTTGCCCCCTCCTTACACACCACTCTCACACTGGACAAAACACGCACACTCCACGACAATTCATGCAGGGAACGCGACGGAGACCTTTCGGGCGGTTTAAGGACGAGCGTTTGTATGTCCCGTCGTAATAATCTGTGCCGTCTCCCTTCCAGAAACCCATCGCATCTTAATCACTTGGTTGCCTGTGAATAGCGCGGGGATCGTATGTAGTATTATGGATGGACATTGTGGATCCTGTGGCATCGTTTGTGAGAGTAGTCGGCTGTGTAGTTTACAGGCTTTAATCGCACTGCCGTCATTTGGTTTTGTTACTGCATTGCGTTCCTTTGCAACTACATTTTGCTGAGGTGTCTTTCACAAAATAAGTTGCAAATCTCGGAGGGCTTTTTCACCTGGTGAAATTAAGGAACGAATTGAACTTTGAATTGAATTTCGTGTAATTAATTGCATTACAAATAGATCACATTGATGTGATTTGGAAAAGTTGAACAAATGAGCAGATTAGAATTTCTTGCCATTGCTCATAACCCCCAGATAGCCCCAAATAGGACATTTTATAACCCTGAACTCTCTCCCCTTTGTTGAGCAAATCACACACCACTCATAGCACGGCATTACACGTGGCCAAATCCGCTTAAGCTGTATTGTTCCTGCGTAGCGCCGTCTGAATTCACTCTACTCAGTGGGATACATCGCAGTATTATCGCACGCAGTACGGCTTGTGAGCTACCGTCCCAGGACGTTCTGTTAGAGTTGTTGTTTAGAACCTGGCTTGACCCACTTTGCAGTGTGTGATCGTGTTGACAGTTTCAATTGGGGACAGGGGCAGACTACAGTCGAAGACCCATTTAAGCAACCATGAACGTGGCAGTGACCTTCCCAGGTGGTCGCACCCGTCACGTCATATTTTACACATTACAATCCCTTGCCTCATTGACAGATTTACAAAACGTAGTAAAAACCACAATTGCAGCTGTTTGTAAGTGCAGTATTACACAGCATTTAAATGAGAGAATAGGTTTTTTTTCCTTTTTTATGGCAGCAAAACAGCTGTGTTAAGATGTTAAAACACCAAACTGAAACCTTTTACAAGGAACCATGTCTGCATAAACCACTGCTTGTGGTCAGAATGCAAACAAAAAACATTGATAGTATATGCATTGTCCTTGAAACTGATTGGTCCACACCAGACAGCTTTCTTTTGAGCCTCGTCTCAAACGGTGTTAGACCAGAGGATGTCTTTTGACGCCTTTAGGCGTCTTTTGGCGTCCTCTGGTCTGACACCGTTTGAGACGAGGCTCAAAAGAAAGCTGTCTCTGGTGTGGACCAATCAGTTTCAAAGACTGCATATATTATCAGAGTGGTTTTTGTTTGCATTCTGACCACAAGAATTGTGGTTAATGCACACATGATTCCTTGCAAAAAGGTTTCAGTTTGGTGTTTTAACATCTTAACACAGCTGTTTTGTTGCCAGAAAAAAGGGGAAAACCTATTATATTTTGGTACTGGCAAAGGAGGTCCCATGAGGCATTTAAATGATTTCTCTCAAGGGGGGAAATATTTTGTCACCAGCTGGTGGCAATGGTGTTGGTTTTGGGTTTTTTTAAGATCCCAGAGGGTATGGACTTGCGATGACGAGTTTGGGAAAATATCAAGTGTCGTGTTCATTTTTGCTGCATCAGCACATTTTAAGCATTATATATTCAAATACGGTTTATGCCAAAAGAAAACGAGACAAATTCCAACAACAAACAACTCGCATTTACATTGCACTCTGAGATATTTGCCATGGGCACAATGTGAATGAATGGTGCTTGCATGTATGTCGCGCTGTCCCTATATCACGTAATGAAACATCTCGGTGCCCGGAACCCCCTTTTGACAGCTGCCCCTGTGCGGTAAAATGTGACTAAGCACCTGGGCTCAGAGATGGGTGTGAGTCAAGCCCAGTCGGGGGTGGTGGGGGAAAACTATTGGTATGAGAGTCGTTTTTGTCAGTTTTTGCAAGTTTGATTGACATTGCTAGCCGAGAGCCAGTGATGCAGTACTGCTCCTTTGACATTTGCCTGCAGTCATTGACCACACGGGCTGTAAAATGTAATTTTAATGTGGCTCATTAAAATAGTATTGTTTGTGGAATAATTTCAGACGAGTGGATCTAAGGTGTGTTCAGCGGAATTATCTTTTGAATGTCATAGTTGTTTCCCCCATAGTTATTTTTTTTAATGTGAACCGATGCCCTTCATAATGAGGCTCAAGTACACTTAATGGTTCGTCTCAGGCTGGCAGACTAAAGATTTTAACTCTCACTCTGAGCTCTCTCTCAGCTGGATTAACGAGTGACAGCTGACAGTGCGCGCTGTGTGTATACGTCCCGTATGTTGGAACCTGATTTGTATCTTGGCATAAATAATTTTCATTCCAATTTGTGGCTTAAAAACTTCCGAATGTAGTAACGCAGTGGAGATTGACCATTTTCCACGAAACACATTCCTGCGCAGGGAGCTGGTAGGAACGTTGGGTTGCTCGGTCAATGGCCAGGGTCAACGGCGGCGTGGTGTATTCCGCAAATATGCCCGACTGTGAGGGGCGGGCACAAGCCTGCATGAGTAGATTAAACGTTGAGTTTTATAAGGGCACCACTGGGTGACCAGCCTCTCCCCACCCAGCCCCACCCCTCCCACCCCCCACCCAGCCCCACACTCCCCACCCAGCCCCTCTCCACCCTCCCCACCCAGCCCCTCCCCACCCAGCCCCTCCCCACCCAGCCCTCCACACCCTCCCCTCTCCACCCAGCCCCACCCCTCCCATTTTTGGATGCACGACGGACAGACACAATAATCCCCTGTGGGCTGGTGGAACCAGGTGGTTCCTACCAGTATTATTCGTGGGAAACTGCCTATTCTGCCACAATAAACTAGGGTCCATCTGTGTGCCATAAATATTCCAGACATGCACGGTTTAATAGTAAAAAAAAACTAATGTATTATCTTAGGATGTTCCATGACAGTGAAATTGTTATCATGCCTGATGTTGCCAAAAAATAATCCTGGTTTTTCAGCTTAAAAAAAGAGATGTGTAAGGTATCGGAGTGTACCCTTGCCCGTACATTGTCGCTTAACACTACTATGCAGACCTATTGTGTTGAATGTTTTTTTGTCGTCGCTGCCAGCGTCAACAGCATTTTCCTTATCTTATACGTTAGCATTACTGCACAGGGTCACATTTCCATTTGTTAATTTGTCTTCATTCCTTTTGAACTCACCGAGTTACCGATTTGGGTCCAACCAATTGCTAGTTTGCAGGCAGGACCTCGCTTAGCGTGATTCTGGAGAACGCCGATTCGTTTTGGTGCTCTTTGTTCTGGAGAAATTTTGTCAAGAAACAACAATACGTGGAAAATAAAAAAATTCGAAAAAGCCCTTTTGCGAGTGAGAACATGCAGCGCTGGCTGAGGAAACGTACCCGCCCCCCGTCATTCACTCAGCCGAAAAAAGCGACGTACGGCTTTGAACTATCCAAACCGCCCCTCCCCCCCAGCGATTCAATTATCACGATTCGTCATCACGATTGCGTAAGTAAAATAACAATTTTGTTAGCTCGGTGAAAGCTCACGAGACCAGGATAGAGTCTCGGGCTCCACGTAAATTAACCTCACCACAGAAATTGAGACCGAGGGCATCGCTAAGATCACTGAGGTTCTAGAGCTTTTCGGTGAGAGTGACCCGGATTTGGAGTGCAGCAGCAGCTCCTCCAACCTCATCTGCCACCGCTGCCTTGTCGGAGGAGTACAATAGAATGCACTCGTCAGTACAGCTACGTAATACTGATGTTATAAATTATTCTTATTTATTAAATAATGGTTACTATCTGTATTCCTATTAGCGCTATTACTGATACCCCAACGAAGCCCACATATATTGCTCATACAAAATAAATAATGCTGCCGGGAACGCATCCCCATATATGCAATGGTATAATGACCCCTTTTAGTGCTGATTCGATTAGCGTTCACTTCTCCAGAAACGCATCTTGAGCTCTAAGCGAGGTCTGCCCTGTACTGTGTGCCAGACAAAACAGTAGATGTTGTGCCCTTTCTAGGAATCGCCCTACAATTTCCAATGGACACCCTTTCAAGCGGAGATGTTCCATCTGAAGGGGATTTCCCAGGTGAAAATACATTTTGGTAAAAAAAATACGAATTAAATTGAACATTCCAAGCCCACTGCGTTTGGGACGCCAGGCTTGAAAGTTGCCACTTGGCGCGGCGATACTAAAACACCCACCACAAAAACTATACCCAATTGCATTCCTATACTTCGTATCACCCGCATATTGCTCCATAGAATTTTGGAAACGTACGCGTAAGCATTTTAAATGTTGCTCGAGGTTTTTAAAGATGCAAGCCAACACGTGTTCCCCGAACTATTTTTCGCATGGAACAACACCTTATGTCAACTTTTAATTTAGCAGTGGTTGTGCATGTGCACATGTACAACTGTATATTTCAGTTGTGTGTATATGTATATACTGTATATACGTACATGCGGAGTATACATGCGTATGCTTCTGCATGTAATATATCGACACAGACAGCAAAGGGGGTGTCCTCTATATAATCTTAACATTCATACAGCTCTCTTAAAAAGCAAACAATGGTACATATGGTATACAAGTATGGTATATAGGTGTGCGTACATCTGTACACAAGCACGTATGCATTGTATCGATGTTTGGTTGTGTTCTTATTTGTTATCGGATGTAACGATTCACCTCTTACACAAGTCGAGGAATTGTGGATAACGCAACTCCACAGTTTTATTTTTGCGTTGATTATATTTTGATGAATCTACGCTCTATGGCGGTTCAGCTATAACAGCGGTATGACATTCCAGAATCTGTAATGGTACGAAGGACGGCACCATTGCAGATTGACATGGCCGAGCGGGGTGTGTGTTGGTAGCTCATAGCAGAGGTTTGTAGTTCAAGACTGACAGACTGCCCTGGTTAATACCGCGGGTGTGTTAACCGTACAATACATGGCGTCTGCTTCTCAGTGGATGTTAAAGATCCCGTAACGTCATTTAAATAGAGGAGGCCATTGTGTGCCGGCATCACGGTCCAAATTTTCCGATAAAAAAAAATGACAGAGCAAATTACTCAATCGGGATCGCGCGTAGCGGCATCGCCCCCTACTGTGAAACTACTGTTAAACATAGCACCTTCGTGACTGCCTTGCTCTAGGAGAATGGCACGAACACCAAACGTTCTAAAATATTACCTTTGCAAATCTTTGGTTGGATCAAAATTTGAATAGAACATTATACAAATCCTTATACGCAGGATTTGTTGTGTGTAATGTGAGAATAAGCTTCACCTTTAATCTTTTGAGTCGTTGCATTCGTATGATTTATGCAGTCAATACACACTAGTTTACAGCCCATGCGGTCACACCGCAGAGTGATAGCCTTCCTACAATTGAACACTTCTTATACGTTTGCCAAATGTATGCTTTCGTGTAAAAAGCCCTGTAATGCTGAGGCAAAGTACATTTTAACATTGGCGCAAATGTTTTGTTCTATCGTTTCATCTCGTTTCACTGGTTGACGTGCGGGTTGCCCAATTGACCCCGTGCGATGTCAGCAGGCCTGGCCTCGGCGTTCGCCGTTTTACACCACATGGTGGTCAGGCGTTCCCGTTGTCTCGTGCACGCAATACGCAAGCCACTATTTGAACACGCGACGTTTCGTCTCGGCCAACAAATTTTGAGCAAGTCCGACAGACGAGGAGGCCGGATGTTGTAATCTCAGTAAATGTGTTTAAATTGTTTTGATTAATTTACAGCATACTGTGCTCAAGGTTACGATGCACGCAATGTATGAATTTGTTACAATCAGAAGTGTGCAGGAGAATGATTTGAACATGACCATTGTCTTAACTACACATGGGTATTTAAATAAAGTCCAACTGGTAGCCAATCAGTTTGGTGGGGCAGGTGTTTCAGGACGCTAAATAAATATATTATAAATATAACATTTTACTGAGCGGTTTCTCGTTCAGAAACGTAGCTCCTTGCAAGAGTTGGCTACTCTTCA